TCCTAAAAATAAGAACCTCCCCCTATTTTAATTACTGAAGGGATTCATTTTTGGGTTTCTTATTTTTGGTCATATACGGTAATTAAAATAATAAAAGTTATATCTTTTTCTTTTAAGAAAACAAAAAATAATATTAAATTAATATATTGTAAAATATATAAACTTAATTAAACAGAAACCAATAAAATCTTTTAATATATAAATTTGTTAAATAAAAATAAAGATTAGTTTTTTTATAATTTTTTTTATTAATTAATATAAAAAATTATATAAAGTAAAATTAAATAAAAATTTAATAGTAAAAAAACTTTCTTCTGATTGTATCCATTTTGCTCAAAAATTTCTATATATAGTAATTTTGATTAAAAAAAATAATTTATACTCTTTATCGCAAGTAAACCCTAGCTCAGGAATCCAAGAATACTAAAGACAACTGATGCAGTGGGATGGAACCTCTGATCAAAGTTTACTCAAGTTTGGGAGTTTTGTTTATTCTTCAGTTGCATGGGAAAAGGCCCATGGCAATACACTTTGATTCTTTGGTTCTTTTACAACCCAAATCTCTTTTTTATCATAAAAACTATTCTTATATATACTATTATAATCAATATATTCATAAACACCTTCCAAAAAATATATACAAACAAAGTTGTAGGTCCTAATATTTGTTTCAATACAATCTTCACACACTTCTCTATCCTGGCATCACTTACTGTACCACTTAAAAAAATCCTTAATTTTTTTTTGGCACCAAAAACTGAAATTAGTTTATTCCCTCCAATTGATCGATGTCTGGCAATCGTTCAATCAAAATCCATTACATCATTCAAATCACAATAACAAACTGGTTTAAACTGATTTATCAATTCAACAACAACAACAATACTAACAACAACAATAACAACTGGCTTAAACCGATTTACCTATCTAATCACTATCAACATAATAACAACTATCATGATAAATAACTTTTAAATATATTTTACTATCTGTATCAAGAAAAGAAGTATTAACAAGTTATAAAGAACCAGAGAGATGGGACAACAAGCTTGGCCAGAAATTCTTTTGGGGATCAAACTTTTATTTTCATAGATTTTATAATTTATTTAATTTAGTTTTAGTTCTAGTTGCTTTTATTTTTTCTCAAATTTCAAAAATATAAAAACTTTTTTTCTGAGTAGATAGGTATAACTGCTACTTGGCCTTTGTTTAACAATTAATATTGTTTAAAATTTCTTTTCTATACTAGTTAAACATTGTACTAGTAGGCAAGCTAGCATTTAACTTATTGTATGTTTTTGTATCTAAGAGATGTTATTTCTTTTCTAAATGTGTGCCATGATATATATAAAATAAATAAAGAAATGATGTTTACTTACTTAAAAAAAAAAAATAAAAAAATAAAAATTAATAGTAAAATCAATTTTTAAAAATTTTTAAAGATTTTTAAAATTAATTTTGTAAAATAAAAAATTGATTGATTCTATATATAATTTACATATTATAAGAAATATTCAATAAATTTTTTATTGTTGAAAAAAAATTTTAATAGCTCAATAATTCAATTTTATATATAAATACTTAGTCAAAATTTGTACTTTTTTATTTATTTATTTAAAACCATATTTTTATAATAAACCTATTTTAATTAGCTATTAATAAATTCGAATATTTTATTATTAGATTATAAAAAATATATACAGTATTTACAATTTTATACAAATTAAATAATTATTTATTAAACTATATTTAAAATATTGGTTCAAAAACTTTTGTAACAGACTGTATATCTTTTTTATTTATATTTGCTTATTTTTATATTTATAAAATTGAAACAATAACTTAATATAGAAAAAGAAATCTTTTGTTTTTAATAAAAATCGATAAAAATTCTGGTTTTTATTATTTTCTATAAGATGTGTTTTTGATAATGTTTTAATTAAATTCTTTATAAAATATTTTGTTTTTTTTTTTAATATTTTAAATAATTTTTATATAAGTAAGTAAGTAACTTGATGTTTAGAATTAATTAAAAAATTAGAATGTTATAATATTTACTTGGATTCTTGCCATAGTCAGCATACTATAAATGTTGAAAATTGAATGACTGGAGTAACCAGTAGAAAATTATACATAATTCATTAATATTAAAAAAAAAAGACGTATTACATAAATTACATTTTTCAACCTGACTACAATTACGCAATCCATAATCCAGAGTATCAACTGTTATCGTCTATGTGAAATTTGAGATTGTTCACGAAATAAATGTTCTTATATTAAAGATGACAATCTAATAAACAGAAACAGAGATGTGAATTAACTGAAAAAATTTTTTTTGTGTGTTAGTTAACGTGATTTTAATAGCATTCTATATTCTAATCAAATACGATGAAAGAAACTCTACAAGGGGAGGACGATGCCATCGACCAATAATTAATTAATGATGATATTATACAACTACACGCTTAATCCATCTAGGATTAAAGAGCAAATTTCAATTGGCTCCGTGAAATTTCTTATCGTCCGGAGTCTAATAAAACCGAATGACCTATTCTCGTCAGTTCTCGCAGATCTACAATCAAACCTCATTGTAATGCTGTGGCTTGATGGAATCAATGACGGATCGGTATGATCTTGCGAAGAGGATTTATTGTCACAAATTTGCTGTAGAAAGCAGAATGATGACACCGTGAATGAGAATGAAAGAAGAAAGAAAGAAGACGTTAAACACTCGATGACCAATTACCCATTCATTCCCATCCGGGGAAGTTTCAATGATGAAGGATTCGTTGAAGTTGCTGATAACTTTTGAAGACACGATCGTAATCTTGCTGTACATTCGTGGTTCAACGAATTGTAGCCCGAAATAATCGTCGATCTTGGGAACTGGCGTGGTGAACACACAAATTTAACATGAATATGACGATGGAAGGAATGAAAAATGAAGAGAACGCAGTGTAATCTCTGATAATTACTTTTGAAAGAATTCCAGCACGTATTCGAGTTCATATCCACGGCATTGTGATAAGCATGTTTGCTCCAGAATTTGTTGCTTGGAAAAGTCAACGCATTGAATTTGGCCTCTTGTTCTCGAACATGTGTGATGTTGTTGGTATAATACACACTCGATGGATACGGAAATGGATCAATATTGGTGATAAATAAACATCTATCGTTTGCACACGGTGCTCTTTCAATGGGAAATAAATGTGTAAGTGATGTGACGGTGAGGAATGTAATCAGGACAAATACCTTACATCCCGGTTCGAGTAATATGGTTCTTCTTCTTTGCGCATAAATTGCTGGGAATCGGTGTTAGTAGCCAAGGCGGTGTACAATTTTTGAACCGCGTCGAGCTAAAATTGTTAATATGTTTACTAATGTGATGACAAAGATGACGTTGCAATTGGTCTCGACGCACAACCTAGAGTGTAACCGTAAATGACACTCACAATATTGGCATAGACCACGGACCATTGATCGACGCCGTTGCTCCAGCCGTTTATCTGATCCGAAGGGGCCAAAGGGCTTGAAAGTTGATAAGGATATTGATTTGTCCACAGAGAAAAATAAATGTCCAACAATCGTAGACGTTCTCTCCCCAAGGAAGTTGAGCCAACTTGTCCCAAAAATCGAAACACTTTTGCACGCGGAACAAACGATCCGCATCCTAACCACGTAAATCCGGTATGAAGGTTTTTGTCTGGAATATTTATATTTGCAAAGAAGGAAATGAAGAGTGAACGATGTGTTTTTGTCATAACGGATGAACAGGTGTCACCTACCCTTATTGGAAAACGTCCACCTTCTGTGCTCTAAATGGATAATTGGCATGGTGTTGGAATGAATTAAACTTGGGCTTCTTAAGAAATTGATGTAAACACTATCCATGTATAAGTTCAACCAATCGTCATCCTGGAAATAGCAGTAATCGTATTTTGCCATCGAACAGATGATGTATTTGGATAGATCCTGAAGATTTTCAACTGAGTTGAACACATTCAAGATCACGTCGGTGTTATTAAGTTTGAAATTCTGGAGTCATTGAATAAATCGTTTAAGCATTTCATAATCGAATCTGATGTAAATAGGTTGACTCTTGCCTGTGGTTTTAGGATTGTTTTGTTGTTGTTGTTCCAAATTAAGATCTCTTTGATGTATGGATATTTGGTTATATGATTCACCAAAACTCGTAAATTCTCGACTCTTCCCCAGTTCAACATGATCGCAGTCACAGGAATCAACCCATTTTTCTTTAATGCTTCATCAGTAAACTGTTCTCTTTTGAAAAAACTAGTTCTATCATCTGTTAATTTGTTTAGATCAGATATCCAAGTTTTTTCGGGTATATCCTTTAGGGTTTTCTCTTCTGGCGAAAAAATGACTTTAGTTCTCATCCGAGAATCACTGAAATCAATCCGAAATCTCAAAATGGAGATCCATAGACAGGTTCCAAACAATAAAATGACCAGAACAAGCTTAAGTGTATTGTTTCTACGACCAAAGAGACGTCCACAACCGAATGTTGAGATTCGTAGATTGGCCATTTCTTTACGGAATATGTGAAAGGAACATCGATTATCGGACGCAGGGGAAAAGTGTGATTATGGATGAAGGGAGACCGAAAGAATTTTTTATTCTCACAACATCTGCCGATCGATCATTGCCTGTACAAAAATGGAAGTTTTCATTAAAAGAATTACTTATTGCAATCCGAGATATGTACGATCAACATCACGTGTTTACATATGGTGCTACGGTATATATATTGTATATTACACATACGTATGTACTATAAATTCTGTAACTCTATTTTAGAGCTTCATTACCTTGCATTCACAATACGTAATGCACACAATTACTACTGTAAAATGCAATATAAATTCTGTGCGTTTTTTTGACATACTGAAGCTGCATTAGCACAATATCGTATCAGCGAATTGATATGCCTTTGTACGATCAAATGGAAAGTTGAACAAATGACGCGTTTTTAAATATTTCTGCTCTTTCTTTGTTACACCGACAAATTTCTTCATCGTTTCCCCCATTGTCTCAAATTCCTATACTCGTTCAAAATTTCATCTTGCAGCTTCAATTGCATGCAAAAAAAGGTACATCTGTAAACAAGGTGTGGGGATGAAATCGTGAGTGAACAACGGCACAAAATGGTTCATTTTGATGGAATCTGAGAACCAAAAAGAATGTCATGAAAAACTACCATTGTTAATCAAGTAAAAAAAGAATTACTGGGGCTGATTAGTGAGTTTCGAAATGGATTTTCTATTGTCATGAATTTATTATCGACCATTCCACATAACAAGATAACATATGGATGTTGAGCCGCGAATAATGGATTTCACCAAAAAAAAAAATTTTTTTTGTTAAAAAAAATGATCCCACGTATTTCATTATGTACAATCATTATATAATGAATGTAATGAAAATTTCTATTGTTAAGAAGGGAAATCATTTTGATATTGTTCAATGATGGTTAAGAAAATAGTAATGAAAATAATAATGCGTATATGTAGATATATATAGGCGCGAAAATCCGTATTCCCTTCTACACGTAAGATCTTTTGACTTCTATTGGTGTGCTAGAGAATAAATCTAAATAATAATTGCGCATCTTCCGTTCTCATTAATAAATATTTACCTGCCTCATAATAACATCACAACACATAAACAATTTACACACAATGGCGAGAACGAATTTATTGGCAAAATTACGCCTATTCCTAACCTTCTGGCTAGGATACCAGACCGTGAAAGTTGTTACCTTCTTACACTTCTTAGGAAAAAGGCATGGATATTATGATTCGAAAGGTTTGCTATTTAATCCTAATTAGAGAGTTGAGGATACTGTTTTTCCTGTCCAACAAGCTGATGAATGTATGTGCATATCGCCACAGTTGCGTTTGTCTTAGGAGTTCAAACGGTTGCTCCTCCGATAGTTGTCATAAATGTCGTGACCTGGATTGTGTTTTGGTTCGACAAGCAGCAATCGAGAATGCAAAATTGGAGAACTCCCGAAAAAGAATTATTATGGTGGTTGTGGACAACCGGTAATTCCTTAGT